CATTAAAACAAGAACAAATACTTCGGAGACTTCGAAAGAACAGTAATGAGCGGTGCGCGCTCTTGCGTTCAATTATTTTCACAGGTACATAATAATTATGGAAATTAATGTTCCATGCCAACGACATTTACTGAATTTATTGCTAATTGAGAACGATCACAATCATGATATCGTATTCACAGAAAAATAGGTATACTCTAAGCAAACTGCTGTTAAAAATACGCTTCGACATTTCACTAATGTACAAACATTGTACATAACCAATAGTAATTGATATACCTTACTTAATATTTATGCTTCTACCATGTTTTGTAAAATCTTTGTTTCATTTACACTTTGTATGTGAAAACGCTTATATGAAACTAATTAATATTTGATGATATAAAAATCTTTTCTATAATAATAATGACTATTTTTTTTTTGAAACTTTAGGATTATGGAATGAAATATATCCGAAAAGCAGGTCACGTCGCTGTTGACAGCAATTTAATGTTTGATGCGATTTAATTACCGCTCGATAGGATCCGGCCAGTAATTTCCATTCGGCTGCTCCTAGATTGAATTTTCCGAATTGCGGCAAATCGGAAGTGAATTCCTCTCAACCGTATTTATCGAATTTTCTTCTAGCGAGGTCGTAGCTTTCCTTCCATATATGTAATGATACTTCAAATGCAATTTACTTGCAGCAACTAGTTTCGTAATTTTGAATATATTTGTTGAAAATTTCAACACCTATCAAACATTAAGTTCATTTTAATTATGTAATGTGAAACAACTACGGAAATAATAGGATAGTTATTTATTGAAGTTTGAAATTATTTATAATAACCACATGGAAATACAACTGTTAATTGTATGATGGCATGTTGTAATGTCAGCCTTTGGTACTTTTATATTTAGATTTAAGCAAATTAAAATGTCGGAAGGAAAATGCATTACGCTAACGGGAGTATTTGAATGTCACGATTTTCTCAAATTGGCGATCGAATTGGTTAGTGGCATTTAGGGTATGGTGGATCATTAGTGTCGCTTTGATCCTTGCATCCCCGTAAGCGGCGCAGCTTTCAGTAAATGGAAGGGTAATAATTATGGACGTTCAGACAGTTTGCGTCATGCGATGGCTTTGAACAAGATTGGCAGCAAACAACTTGGGAATCGAATCAAAATTAAGTGTCCTCGACGACGCGCATCTTTGCATTATTATTATTTTCTTCGTCAGTGCAATTAGAGGCGGAACTAATTTAAGTTTAGCGTTCGCCGCCCCCGCTGCATTTATATTAATTGGGACCATGGAAAATGAAAAATTCCGTTAAGCTGAATTCATGAGGAGCACACACAACAACAACAACAACAGCAGGGGAAAACGTAAAATAATCTTAGGCCGCTGCTTTGAAAGCCCATCAGAAACTTCGGAATTCATAAGGAGCTTAAAGAAGCCACTCGAAAGAAGGAGGAGGAAAAAGAAAGAAGTAAAGACTCAGCAAAGGAGAAAGAATGGTTTAATATTTTAAGCCCCTTTTCCCTCTTTGGATGACAGCCGAGTCGTTAATATTTTCCTCCCCCTTTCGAAAACCGCTGCTGCCGCCGTTGCCATCTAGGGAGTCACGATTCATTTTACGATTATTATTACACGAATCAATTTACCATCAGACGAAAATTTCGTTTTTGCATTTTCCCGTTTAAGTTTTTTTTTTGCCTTCCTTGAAAAACATAATATGGAGAGTCGTTAATTTTGCTGAATTTAATGAAACGCCAAGGGTCTTGATTTATTCATCAAACACTTATGTAGTGGAGCACCAAACGAATTACGAAATAATAACCCCAGGCTATTATATATCATAAATTAATCTAAATGGCTTTTTCAAATTTAATAATTAAAATAATTGACACAGTTGCCTGAATAGACTTTTTAAAAGTACAGACTGAATAATACATTAAGTTAATTTTGTACTATTACAATTAAGCTTTCTGAAAACTATTGTATATAGAAAACAAGAATATATTTTGTTTTATTCCAACATCATAAAGACTAAACAAGTTTCAGACTAAATTTATGAGTCGGTTTATAAAATCGGTTGTTTGAAGACAATTATGTAAGTCGAAAACCGTTTTTTTTAACTGAAAAACTGTTTTCCGAATAAACAATTTCTCAAATCTTTGAATATAAAACGCATAAAAATAAATCGCACAAAAAAGGAAGACACACCGCATAAAACTAAATCAATGAGTTAGAATGTACCAAAAATCGCATAAAAAAGGGTTTATTAATTTTCAGAAAAATAATTAGTCTTACTATATTCTTTCTGAAATGTTTATTCATAATTTTATAAAAACGTTAACAATTATAGACAAGTTTATTAAAATTTCAGAAAAATATAATCTTAACATATTCCTTCTAAATTCATACGGAAAAATTTTACAACAAAAAATACAGATAATTTTTATGAAAGTTAAACTTTCTTCACATTTTTTTCTTTAGAATTATTGTCGCTATATGAGAGTGTTCAGCATAATTTGCGAACTGGTTCGAAATCACTTTCATCACTAGAAGAGATAGTCAGCATGTCAGATCTATGTCCTGAAGATAATGATTACTTGTGAAGGTAAAATTAGTCTCAACTTCGCATGTTGATTTTTCCCTTTGACAATATAATCAGTGATTAAACTTTGCGATGGCTTTGCTATTTTTTTTTGTACAATTCCTGATATCCAGAAATGCAATTCTGAAGTTTGACAATATAATCAGTGATTAAACTTTGCGATGGCTTTGCTATTTTTTTTTTGTACAATTCCTGATATCCAGAAATGCAATTTTGAAGCTCGCGTTGAAACTTGAATTCTCGTTCATCATCTTTTTCGATGAAATAGTTTGCCAATTTGTATCAAAATGGCCTAAAATAGTTATTTTAAAAAAATTCTTCTTGAAATAAAAACCTCATAACTTCAAAACCGCATAAAAAGAGTACGCATAAAAAGAGTACCCAGTGTACTATCCTCTCATGTTCTTGTTATCAACTACCTAACTAGTGTCATAGGCACAGGAGATCTTAATATGGGACTCCTAGAACAGATAAACTACCCTTCAATATGATTTTTTGAAACAGTGTTCTGGGCTTTATGGTTTTCTACCTTAACACGTTTCAAAAGAAATACTGAGTAAGATATCTCGGATATTTATTTTTTTCTGTTTTTTGAAAAAATCATCTCTAATTTTATTAAAATTGGGAAAAGTTGAGTTAAAAAACCGGTTATAAAAAAAATCTGTTTTTGTACAAACCTTACACATACATTGCATGTTTAGCATACTTTAAAAATAATTTAAGTAGAGTTATATAGAAATTGGAAGGATATGCGAACGTTGAATATTTAAAATGAATTCAGTTTGAAATTGAAATCTGCTTTCACACAAAGCAGGGGGATTCCCCTAAGCGTAGGTCGCTGCATCCACAATTTCCCGATGGCGATTTGATTGATACAACTGCCGATCCGGAAAATGCATGTCCAAACTATCGATTGTCGACAGAGGGCGTGTAAATAATTTGCAACAAAATGTCGCGCCCTTCTGCCCACTTGCACATAAGGGGGTGGTGGTGGTGGTTGGTCGGAATAGTTGGCTGCCGCGCAACATTGGCGCCTCGTGAAAGTTTAATTGTGTTTCGTTTTAATTAATTTCCGGTTTGGCAAAGTTTGTTGTTGTTGGCGGCACTGCCGCCTCCGCTTCTGAATAATTTCTGTTGCGTTTTGCATTTTCATCGTTGGAATTGATAAAGCCTCAACCGGCCGGTCCTTGCGTGCAACTATTTATTTTTAATTTAATATGAATCCGAGGGGTCGTCGAGTTGGGAGGTGGTGGTTGATGGGTGGTATAGTAATTGCACTCTTATGTCTGTCTTCGTTTGGATCGGGGGTGGTCTGGGTCTCTCCCGAGGGAGTCTAGTTACACTTTTATTCAAAGACACGGACGGATGGATAGACGGACAGCTGAAAGGGATTGCGGAGCTCCCTTCTTATTCAGGGGGTTGGGGAGTATTAACATTTGTTACGATCCGCCGGTCGCAGGTGGGATCATTTGTGAGGAGACACCAGCGAACTCCATTTCCAAACTTAGAAATCCGACCCCCTGCCTCCTTCCTGCTCGTCCTTCTTACACATACATCACTTTGAAATATGTCACTTGCCCGACGATATGTTTCAGCATTCACCTCCCCCTTTCTCGATGAGATCTATATCCTGCATTCTTGGTTCTTCTTCATTCCAGTTTTAGCATTTGGGTCGAGGATTAGATAGCGTCGATGTTATTGTCGTCCTTGCTGTTGTTGTTTGTTTTTCTTGTCCCCAAGCATCGATCGATTATTAACGAAGTAATTCCATCCATCAGGCAGACGGTATTTACTTCACCGTTCTCCCTTCAGGCCCTTTCCATTTCATATTTCCCACTTTAATCATCCGGCTCCGTGCCATTTAAGATGACTCGGCGAATTTCATTTCGTCCGACCCTTAGCTCCCAGTTGTAAACCGTACGAAAAAAAATCTACAAGATCGATAATTGACTTAATATATTAGATTTTTCTACCTCTCTCTACAACATTACAAGAAATATCACCTGCATGCTATAATTTATTATTAAAATTAATAGGTATAATAGGTATTTTTTTTTTACAAAGATACAAAGTGTGTCATGAATATTTGAATTGATGTCTTTTTGATATCCAGGATATGCAGCAATAAACTAAAAGGATTAGCGATCAATATTCGAATTCGCTTTTGTGAGTTTCCTCAATAGAGATATTCGTATTGCAACATTATTTATAAAATATGATTTTCAGTTTATTCGATTACAATAAAAATATTAAAATATCATAATAATTAAAGCATAAATTTATTTAAAAATAAATATAAATTCAATAATAAAGCAATGGGAGTCAATAAAAATGTGTGAAGAAATATGTTTTTTACAAAATGAATTTCAATGAATAAATATGAAAATAAGCTGAAAACGCTTATAGTATTGTAAAGTTCTGGACGTTCTTGTTCAGAATGGAACCTTTAATGGAGCTAAACACGTGAGTCATATTCTCCGTATCTACGGTTGAGGTGAAATGCTGGAAGACTTTTTTGCTAGGATCTCGCTTCACGGCTGAGAAAAGGGCCGCAATAAAAACTTCAACTTCTTTAACGGAATGCGGATCTCCAGTGTACTTAGGATAATACCAGCTAATGTTTGTGGTAGTATCTGCGATCTTCTTCACAAGGAGATCGTGCTTGTTCAAAAACAATATCTTGAGCATATTGCTAAAAATGTTATTATTAATTATCGTGTCGTAGATTTGAATGCTTTCCTCTAGTCTGTTAGTTTTTCGATCCTCCATAAGTATTTGGTCAAATTCTGAGATCGATGCCATGAAGAGTATGGCGTTAACAGAATCGAAGCACTACAGCCACTTACGTCGCTGCGCTCGTTGTCCTCCAATATCGACAAATACAAAAGGAATGTTATTTATGTTGATCTTAACTTCAGACACCCCTTTAGTAGTTTTTCTGCATAACAAAATGTCTTTAGAGTTTGGCAAGTACGAGTACTTGGATATCCTTGCCAAGTCGTTTAAATAATACTCGACGGAATCGGCCAGTTGAAACTCCCTTCTCCTGGTGAAAGCTAATTTGATACCCGAGTCCTTCCAAAGGCAGTTTAGTAAAGGGGCAACACTCCTGAACTGCTGCATTTCCATGTCTTTGCACTCAGTTTGTATCAAATTTTGGCCATTTATGTAATTGTAATTATCCTCTAGCCGAATCTTCAGCTTAACGCAAGCATCCACCAAGGTTTGCATTCCCCTGACAACGTTCTCGTAAATTATCCTCCTGTACTCTCTGATTTCCTTATCCTCGAAATGGATGTTGTGAATGATCTTCATCTGCTTCAGAAACGTCGATTTCCCACTATCACCAGCTCCTAATAGCAATATCTTAATTTGATTTTTTTGCTCCTTTCGCTCAATCCTTAGCAATCTGTCAATCTTTGCGCTCTTATGCTTCTGTTCATGCACATCGAAGCACGACTTCGATTCGTAAAGGCAGCAATACTCTCTCATCCAAAACATGTCGTAGACTGAAAATTGCAAAACCGTCATTCACTTTATATACCAAAAAAAAAAAGTGTACTTACAAAAATATTATTTCAATTTCAAAATGCGGAATTAATTGCTTTTTTATCACTGTCCGAAACTGTAGCTTTCTTTACCGAGAAATATACGAGTTTTATTATTTTATTGCTTTGTTTTTGAAAGCATTTATTGTTTGCTTAGGGATGTCATTAACTGGAGATGTTATTGTTGTAGTTCCAGGTATGAATGCGGCGTGATTACGTGATGAAATTTAGTGGCTGTTCCACCGGATTAAATGCAAATCGTAAATTATTGCGCATTGATTAGAGATTCGAGACCGATTTTGCAGGACATCCACTAAATTTGCGATTTGCGACTGCACAACAATTCCTAATTACTGATTAATACGTTGCACTCTTCAATAATTAACACAGTGACAACGCAAACCAACGAAACGATTGCTGTTGTTTGCTCTACGGTTAACTGTTCATTTTATTGTTTGTTATGTAAAACGTTCTTGTTGCCGCAATGATTGATTTAATTTGAGTAAGTATTGTTCAAGGGTTGTTAAACTGCTAAATGTATCAAATTTAATACTTCAACAACAGGCGAAACGATAACTTCTAATTAATTTTAATTTATATTCTATGTAATTCTCTTACTATTATTTTTAAACACATTTGATTTATGTAATGTACACTATTACAGCATTATTTAGCAATTAATACTCGGATCTTACTATAAAGTAGAACATCGCCTAACGAGCAAAATGAATTGTAAGAAAAATGACTCGCTTAACGAGCGACGTTTCGAACGAGTGACGATGAGAAGAGAAGTCCCAGATAAGTAAATTAATGTTTATAATAATGGTGACATGTCCAAAATTGAAAAAGTATGCACAATGAAAAGTTTCAGCTTTATTAATAAATTCTTATTGTGAAAATAATTTGTAATTGTTTTCGAGAAAATGTTTTTTTACAAGAATTTACCTATGAAGACATTTTGCACACTTCCCCAACACATGAAAAATAGCCAACTTTAATTTTATTTTCATATACAAATAACCTTTGATGCAACTTGTATAAGCTCCTTACTTTGTAGATATTAAATTTTCTTCGAATAATATCATCCTGAAAAATGGTATTATTTTTACGGTAAATTTAAGCTTTGACAAGAATTCTGCAAAGATTAAATGAAAAACCGACTATGAAAGGCCAGTTGACTATAGATCCTAAAGTCTATAGGTATTGGAGGCTTTACAAATACTCGTGCTCCTCGTGATCAAACAGAATTTTATTGATTAAAAATTATTCCTAGAAAGTAAAAAAATGCTTATACAAATATTTGTACGAAATTCATATTTGGTTATATTTCATAATAATCCACGTGTAATAACAATTTTTTTTTCAAATTTTTGATGAATTGGTTTAATGTAGTAAATAGTTGAAAATTACATAATTTGAATGTTGAATGAGTAGAAGAAAATTTAATGTCATTTGTTATAAGTAAGCGAATCTTCTAACTACATTAATGATCAGTAATTCTTAGAGTTTAGTAATTTGAAGAAGTTGTAATGCGTACTCGGAAAATCCCGATCTTTGATGGATGTAAGAGGAGGAAAGTGAGTTTCAGAGAGAGTTGTTGCGTGGGGGACGGCTGAAAAACTTGGGGCGAGGAAAAAAAAAAGAAAATTTGTTGCAGATTCGGTTCGGGTTTGGTTCTTTCTTCTTGAAGCGGCAAAGTACATTAAGATTTTCGCCCGGCGATAAAGAGGAGGGAACTTTTCAAGCGGCATTATGTCAAGTCGGAGCCCGGTTTCTCTAATCTGGCTGTCTCTCTTTCCTTCGTTCCTTCTCTTACATCCAACGTCCCTCGTCCACAGAGGCATTCCCCTTCTGACATCAGCCAGAGGCGAGCGTTCACGGAATTTCTTTTCCACTTATGAAAATTACATATTACGAGAACTAACATCTCTCTCGCTCTCTCTATTTCTCTGTCCCTCGTGCATGTTCTTCTAAATAAAAGTAACGAGCAGGCCATGCAATGGATGGTAAAAAGATGGCTGATCTCCAGGAAATTCGGTTGGCAGAAGAATTTTCCACCGATAGTTTTCATTCTATGAATCTTTATAACTGCGAATATGAATACCTCGGTATAATAAATTTACCAACAAAGCGAGAAGCGGCTCTGCAGATGAAGGCAAAGCAAAGGAGAAGAAGAAGAAAAAAATATACGAGATGAAAAAGTAAATCAGTTTCGGGGGAGGAGAGGTCGGGCGGCGTTTGACGCGGGTTTCCAATTATACAGGAACGAATTGGATTTGATTTATTTCAATTGCAGCTCACTTAATGTTAACGTGCTCTTTTTCTCCTCGCTTCTTACACATTTTCCCTTTCGTTTTTCTTCGGCGTTCGCGTCTAAATCATTATATCTTGTTTCCACTTGTTTAAATATTTCGACTATGCTCATTCACTTTCCATTTGATTTTAATTAATTATTCCTTATATCAAATACAAAAAAACCGATCGTAATGAAAATCACAATTTAAGCAAGTTAAGTTATTTCTCTCATATTGATTAGTTGTGTGTCCTAATAAAGTTAAGTTATATTTGAGATGTAAAAATTATACCAGAGTAATAATTTGAGAAAAGTATAAATTGAATAATTCATGTTTTAACTCTATAACAATACGATACGCAAGTATCTGAAAAGTGAAATTAATGTGTTAAACTGAAATTGCCATGTGATGATGTAACATTGTTGTCGATTGAGAGTGAGAAAATATATTGAAATTACGCTCCGACGTGTCTATACGTTAATTGGACCTGCAAAAAACAATGATTTTATAATTCCATTAGGTTTCGCTGCTGCAAAGCTACCTTGCATTCTATTATTTACATTTTTGTGATGTTATTTATGCCTCGTTTTTCGCTGCGCTTCAGGTCGGGATAATTAAAATATGTGCGTCGGTATTCCTTTCGGAGCGGATTCCTACGTTCCTACAATTTATACATTCTGTACTTCGTTTTTTTTATACTCTTTGTTTTCATTTTCTGCGTTTCTCTCCTTTTTTGCGCTTGAACTTTGTGTGTCTGTCGTTCTCTCTCGCTCTCCTATGTGTTACTGGACCCAGAGGGAATTTGCGAAAATATTCCGTAGAAAAAATGCACAACCAACTAAATGTTCGAAGTAGACTGGAATGTTTTTTTCACCTTTTATTTGTTCGAAATACGTCCCCAACATTCCATAAACATATTCATTTCTTATTTGTCATTCAAAGGGATGTTTCGAATAGTTAAGACTCATCTGTAATTATATCAATAATTATTTAAAATTATTTGTTTTAAATAGAAGATTAAATTAAGTTGTTGTATAGTTCTTACATCTTATTTATAATAGAATTTTTCAATTATTCATAGTAATTTAAATTATTCCACGTTATAAATTAGAATTAATCAAATCTCGGAATATATTTTTCAAGGTTCATTTATATTATTATATACAATGTTGATAATTAGTTTTAATTAGCATTTTTGTATTTATAAGTACTTTTTTAATGAATTCAATTGTATTTAATAAAATTATCAAGTCAAATTTAAATAATAACTTTATGCTTTCCATATGTTCTTATGTATTTTATTTTTTTTTGCTTAGGTTGTTGCATAAAGAAAATCATCTAATTAATTCCTGATGGGATAAGGGAAATCCGGTTTCATGAAATACGCTCTTCGTGTTTTTGTTCGCCCTTCCCTTTCTGTTTTCAAACAAACCCCCTTGCCCCTGAGGACCGATGGGAATTCACTTCTGTGAAACGCTTATACTCCGAATGCATAATGGGCGAGGATCGTAAATTATAAAAATTTCGAAGTTAATCTTCCTCTTGCAGCTCTTGCCTCTTTCACGTCACGATTGATTACACCTCCGCCGTCTTCCACTTACTACCTTCTCGCCGAATCCGATGGACGTTGAAAGACGGGAGATGGATGCGCGGGGGTGGATCAATAGGTGTGCGAGTGAGAGGACTGTCGTTTAAAGCAAGTGGTGCAAGAGAGAAAGAACGATAGAGCAGGAAGGATGTGTGTATTATTGGGTGTGCGGTGGCTCTAAATCTGTCCATTTCGGTCGGATGCTTTTGGCCCAAGGGCTCAGGGCATAATCTCATTATTTCCATCAGCGCGAAAAGAGAAATATAAAAATAAATAAATAAGGTTACGAAGCCCGCACTAAACTTCGCCGAAGAGAGACTAGAATCCAGAAATCCAGGAACGGTGTATAAAGACAGACATGTATACCTATCGATTCTAGAAATAAGGATCCGAAGGATAATAATAATAAACCCAAACGAAATATTATCTTTTAGAGCCTTCGCATTTCTCCTATTTTCCCTCTTTCATCCGACAATGTTATTCTTATTAATTTTTATTGATTCTTTCTCCGCATCTATATTCTATTTTACTTTTGTTCTTCGACCCAATCCATCCGCAGCGTTCGGTTCGCGTCGTTAAATTGGATTCGTCGCTCACAGAATAAATGGCGATTGTGTTTTATGCAATTTACTTTTATTGCGACCGCGGAAACCGCAAATAAAAATCGCAAAGGGAATCAACGGACGCTGTGAAAATAAAGGATAAACGAATGTCGAAAGGGGAAGGAAGGAGAGAGAGAGAGAGAGAAAACGAGAGTGAGAGAATCAAGGACTGAGCAAACCGTGGAATGGAATCGCTCAGCATGGAAACACGCACAAACAAAGAGAGGCACGCACCATTTGAACTACTCCTTTCAAGGAATAATCATCGTCGTGCCATAACGAATTCCCTCTGGTTCGGTCTCGTTATGAATAAGTTACAGTTCGCAATCCTCTCCTCGGAAACTAACAAAAGGAAATAACTTTTCAAACAAACGAGAAACCGAGGCTGCTTTTCGTTGCTCATGGTCGAAACGCTGATGGACTGACCGAGAATACCTCATAAATTATAAGTTCCTCGCATTTGGAATTG